CAGCTGTAACGGTTTCTTCGCCGTCATTCCATAAAACGGCGCCGGGTGGAGTCGCCTCGGTTAGTGAAGCAGCACTTCCCGAAGGAGCGCTTCGTAGAAATCCCCTGCGTCCGAGGCTAGGGCCCCTTGGGCATGTCCCCGGGACCCTGGCGTCGGCCAGGCCTGTGGGGGTTGAGCTCCCCACGTTGTTGCCCGAGACGGAGTACTGTGGATCACGACTCCGGGCTGTTGCAGGTGGCACGTCAGAAACCTGACGGTTTTGCCGGTGGGACGTGACGAAACCGGCTGGGGGCCCCCTTGGACCCGGGACCGCCCCTGGAAACGTTGTGGGTCGGCTCAAACCTTTTTATATATGCTGACAATAGATTATTATTTAGTATAAAGCGTTTTTTTTAAATATTATTATACTCTAACTCTCATATATAGCAAATTTTGAAAATTATTATTATTTATACACTTATTGGAAAGACAATGACTGAAATAGCTGTGCAGACGATGGCGGTCGAACAGACTAACAGTAATGCAGACCAAAGAGAGGTCTTTGACCTGCTCATGGTCAACAGTGAACTCGAAGACTGCCTCAAGGAGGCAACTAAAATACAGTCAAGGAAAGTCAGGGAGTTGTTTGGCAAACTCTCCTCTGAACTTATAAATAAAGATAGAATCATAGCAGGACTTGAATCCAAGGTCGAGATCCTGACTACCACCTTAGAAAAAGTCCTGGCCTGTCCCGCTAGGCAAACAGAAGAGAAAAAGAAGGAGAAAAAGCCGACGCAGGTAGAGACGCCTAAAGACGCCACGTCCTACGCTGCGATGGCAAAGAAAGGAAAAAATAAGGTTCAGAAGGAACCAAAGAAAAAGAAGAAGGCAAAGCAGGCACCAAAGGTGAGCCCAACACCAGTGCCTCGCGAGCCAGCAGTGCTGGTTTATCCTGAGGAGGACGGCCCAAAGACGGCGGAAGAACTTAAGGCGCTCTTAAAACAGAACATAAGGCCCGCTGAACTGCACGTGAAAGTCACGTCAGTCAGAAAACTCAAAAACGAGGGAGTGGCAATCTGTGTCACAAAGAGCGAAGACATTGATACGCTCAAGAAGGCCATAGAGGAAGCGAAAGGCCTCAAAGGAAAGTGTGGAGTAAAGGAGCCCTCCACACGCAACCCTCACATTCTAATCTTCGATGTCGATAAAGAAAAGACACAGAAGAAGCTGAAGTGACCAAGGCACTTCGTAAACAATTTGAGCTGCCAAAAGGTTCAGCCAAAGTCAGAAGCCGTCTCTCCGCACGGAAAGGCTATGAGCACTGGGTAGTAGAAACTACGCCGGCTCTGTACAAAGAGATTAAAGCGTGTGACAAACTATCCCTAGGATGGTCTCGCCACCGTTACAAAGAGTACCTATGCCCTATGAGGTGCTACAGGTGCTATAGATACGGGCATACGCAAAAAAACTGCGTAGAAACAGAACAACTATGTTCTAACTGCCCAGGAAAGCACTCCTACAAAGAGTGCAAAGAGGAGAAGACTTCCTGCAGAAATTGTACGGAAGTGAACATAAAGCAGAGACAGAAACTGGACACCGCCCACTCTACAATGTCCAGAAACTGTCCGTGCTACGTGCGAGAGCTGCAACTGCAGCGTAACCGTACTACCTATGGTTAAGACAACCATAGGAAAGGCGGAGTTAATGCAAATGAAACAATACGGACTATGGCTAGTGAATCCATAGAAAGTATGGTTTGGCGAATCTTTCAGGGTAACCTTGGGCGATCCAAGGTAGCTACCCTACACTTAGAGCAACTCATAGGTGAAGCCGAAGTCCCGCCGGATGTACTAATCGTCCAGGAGCCCTATCTAATCGACGGGGCAATAGCGGGAATCCCCTTAGAGTGGAGGCGGATACACCGCGAAAAGGGGGCAACGGCGATCCTAGTCACCAATCCAAACATGGACGTGGCAATTAAATATCTCAATGCTTATATCGTAGCGGCAGAACTGACCACCCTGAGAAGGCGACTGATAGTGATATCTGTCTACTTCCCCCCATCCATGCCCATCGATCCTTTTCTTGTAGAATTGGACTTAGTACTGTCGTACTTCCCACCAACAGAAGTACTAGTGGCAGGAGACTGGAACGCCAAGCACGAGGCTTGGGGTTCTCCTCAAACCGATGACCGAGGTACCTCCGTCATGGAGTTCGTCTTAAGATCTAACCTCAATGTGCTGAACGATCCGGTCGCCCCGCCTACATTTAGGACAGTAAACGGGGAAAGTTGGATAGATATTGCTGTCGGTTCCGACTCACTATGTGATGCACAAGCTACCTGGCGGGTAATTGAGGATACCCCCAGCGATCACAACTACCTAACCTATGAGATTGGTAGTAAAGAGTTCCGACAGCAAAGTCCAAGGTACAAATTAAACGAATTCCAAATTCGTAAAGCCATCCGACACTTCAGTAAGCAAGCGGATGAGCTCCTCAGCAAGATCCAAGAGGCAAGTACCATTCAACAACTGGACGAAGCGGTCGATAAATTCATGGGTTCCCTCAAAGCAGTGTGCGATCAACACCTGCTAAGGAAGAACCTAATCAGAGATCGCAAAGTTCCATGGTGGGATATGGAACTAAAGGTTAAGCGTAGTAAGTGCAGAGCACTAAGAAGGAGGTACACCAAGAGCATGGTACCTCAAGAAAAGGCATTACTCTTGCTGCGGTATAAGCGTGAGAGAGCGACCTATCGAAAAATGATAGGCCACAAAAAGAAAATGAGTTGGCTCAAGTTCTGTGAAAGAACGGCCAGCATTAACGCTTGGCAGCTTCCGTACAAGCTGGCCGCGGACAAAGTCTACCGCCCGGCAACACTCGGTAGCATTGGACGTACGCATACAGGAAATACTCTGGCATTCCAAGAAATGATAGATAAAATAGTGGAAAGTCTATTTCCAATAGACAATACACAAGACGATACGCCAGAGCACACTGCGATGAGACGGCAGGTGCATGCTTATAATAACTTAAACATGGACCCAGACTTCACTGACACCGAAGTCCGAGAGGCCATGAAAAAACTGGCAAAAGGGAAGGCTCCAGGTCTCGACGGTCTCAATCTTGAAATCCTTATCGAACTGGAGAACATCGTTCCATCAGCCCTGAGGACGATCTTCAACAAGTGCCTAGCCCAGGGCCACTTCCCTACAGCTTGGAAGAGGGCCAAGCTTGTCTTATTTAACAAAAAAGGAAAGAGTCCAGATGATCCCAAAGCGTACAGACCGATCTGCCTGTTGCTATCGGTGAGTAAGGTGCTCGACAAGTTGAATAACAAGTCGAGTTTATCACTTAGTGATAAGTAGAGGGTTTGCCAGTCAAAACCAACATGGTTTCAAGACTGGCAGATCGTGCGACACAGCGCATTACGCGCTGTACAACACGGTCGTCAGCCACAAGGCGGACAATCTCTACACCTGCATTGTCTCGCTCGACGTCGCGGGCGCCTTTGACAGTGTCTGGTGGCCGGCAGTACTTCACTTGCTTACCGAGACCAATTGTCCCGGCAACATCTATAATTTGATCAGGAGTTATTTCAAAGATAGACAACTCGTCTACGAGAGCAACACTTGCTATAAAGTATACGAGGTGAACAGAGGATGCCCGCAAGGTTCGTGCAGCGGCCCTCTATTCTGGAATCTTATTGCCGATACCTGTCTTAAATTGGAAATGCCAAAAGGCGTTTCCATCCAAGCATATGCAGACGATCTCCTACTGATCGTCTCGGGTCATAGCAGAGCGACCCTTGAAAGCAATGCAAAAGAGGCAATCCAGAGAATAAAGTCATGGAGTGAGCATTACAAACTCACATTCAATCCGGCAAAAATGACCGCCATGACAATTAAAAGGCAAGGCTCATTCAAAGGCAGCAGAACTCCAACGATCAAATGGGACAATGATTCTATACCTAGTGTGGAATCCTTCCGGTACTTAGGTGTAGTGTGGGATTCGAACCTGACCTTCAGCCCGCACATGGATGGAGTGAGGAACACCGTTCTGGACATGAGCCAAAAACTCATGCGGACCGCCAGACGCCTCTACTCAAATCATCCGGCCCTGTTGAAAAAGATATACATGGGAGCCATAGAGAGGTACGCCCTTTTTGGTAGCGGTGCATGGGGCCCGCGCCCTCTGCAATAGTAAGTTTAGAGAACGTCTCAATTCCATACAGAGACCGTTCGCATTACTAATTTCAAAAGCGTACAAAAGTGTGCCCACACTTAGTGCGCAAGTACTAGCAGGTGTACTCCCGCTAGACCTAGCGGCGACCAAAGAGTTTGCCAAGTTCCAAATGAGAACTAGGGACACTCTCGTCAGTGTGCCTCAGCTACCTTCGATCCAAATGACTACGAGGAAAGCGTAGATCTATGGCCAGTCCATCCGGCCACGAGAATATCCATACCGTACAGCCTCAATAAGCCGTGTGGGGACGAAATGGAGATCTACACCGATGGTTCGGGACTTGAAGGACGTGTTGGCGCGGCCTTCGTGGTCCTGTACTACGGTGCGGAGATCCATGAAGAAAGATACAGGTTGGGAGACCTTAACACAGTCTTCCAAGCAGAGCTCTTTGCCATCAAAAAGGCTCTCGAGTGGTGTGTGCAGAACCGCAAAGGTAAATACACGTCCATACACACGGACAGTTTGTCATCCCTATACGCAATGACAAACTCCAGTCACCGCCACTTCCTGGTTAACGGCATTAAAGATCTTTATAGGCAGGCTCTAACTTCTCAAACGGTGGAATTCAAATGGATCAAGGCGCACGTTGGTCACCACGGTAACGAGCTGGCCGACGATCGTGCGAAGCGGGCAACACTCAAGGAAGAGGTTGACTTTAGTCTTCCGATTCCCATGGCGAGATTTACACGGAAACTTAAAGATCTCTTACTCCGTGAATGGCAGACTCGATGGGAGTCGTCCGATAAGGGACGTCAAACGTTCCATTTTATAAGCAAAGTTAGCACAAAAGTGCTGTACGGCAACCATTATATCAATCAGGTCCTAACAGGTCATGGTAGATTCCCGCATTACCTTGCGCGAGTCGGACTGGGTTCGTCCGAGGAGTGCGCATGCGGAAGTGGAAACGGTGACGCGCTCCATTACTTACTGGAGTGTGACCTTACTCAGGCTACTCGAGATAAACTCCGTTTTGATCGAGGAAACCTGGGCTCACTGTTGACGGACTTTAACCTCCCTCATCTCGAGCAGCTGGCCCGAGAAGTTGGAGGGTTCGTCGAGCAGCTGGTCAGGTGAAGATGCTAGGAAGTCTCCTTCCGCCTATACAATAATACATGCAGGACAGTAATAGCGCCCACGGCACCTCTCGGTGCACAAGGGCTCGCCCGGAAGTTAAGTCTCACGCCTACAGTGCGTGTTCAGTTCCAACCAAAGGCATTAAGACCCACTATACCAAAAAGTGGTCCACGCAGGTTCTGTTAGTCCGTGACTAAGGTTGTGCTCATACGGAAGTAGATCTCATTCTGGTCACTACCACTAACCCTAATATACATGTAATTAGTGGGGTTTTCCAGTCCTCTCGACGTATCAGGACGGTTGATCCTCTGCGTTGACCCTCAGCAACCCATTGATTATATTCGCACAGTGATTGGATGTCGAGCAGTGCGACGGGCGATATCGCGGAACGATAATCCACACTCTCTATGGGAAACAATCCTGCCTCTACCATATTCCGACTCTTGCTGGTAAGAATTTCGTCTTAATATTTGAGGCATAACACGATATTCTGAGAAAACTCTGGCCGTACAAAGCGCGTTCCGAATGAGAAATCCACTATGCAACTTTTTTTATGCAATACGTCAGATGTCTTTTCTCCCTCCTTGCATGCGCTTAAATTCTAATCCATTTGCATACCAAATCTCTTCTTCCTTTCACGTGCTTTTACCGTTCGTCGCATCATTCCTTCCTGGTGTTGCAATTTTAATGGCCAGCAGTGTAGGTGAGGACAAGCTCATTTCCCGAAAAAACAGTGTGCTTATATAAGCCTTCTCTTGTCTTACTTAAAACTGCCTGAGCAAGATTTATTCAGTTAAGCATATCGACTAACGTGTCAACGTTCTATAACTTTGACTACTTATTTCACAGTTTTGTTTGCATTAGCTAATGAGAATGTATCCGAATACTCAATATAATCCAAATGAATAAATTCGACAGTGACTGCATTACCACTTTCATGGGAACGGACTGATCTTACTGATGCATCGTCTGACCTGAGAACCAGAATTCTGACAAGAGTGTAATACAGTTAGAACTGTATTGTTACTAAGTATTACAATAAGGCATTCAGAATCACCAAAAGGACAGACGCAGAGCTAGAATGGCAGTTTTCTGGGAAGGATCGTGGGATAGCAAGAGTTACTGCAAATTAGTTGAAAGCTTCTACCATTCAGCATCACTTACCTACATACTCTAGACGTGTAGTTTAAAAAACAGTGTTGTAAGGAAAGGTGGTTTGAATTTTCGGCGTCTGTTGCAATATCCATAACTCCTAGGCATGGAGAGCAGAACAGAACACTGGAGACGAGCTCCTGCCCTGGATTAACTTTCAGAAAAAATCCTCAGATCTGCAGGAGACCATTCAGGCGGACGTAACTCACGCGGTCTCCTACGGACTTTATATATATAACATTGGACGAAAGATAACGCTCAGTCAATAAAAGTTCCAAGCTGGGTACCAGTCCTGGTTTCAATGATTATATTTGATGTGTTGTTTCCATCTACTAAGTGCACCAGAGGACCGAAGAGCCAATGACCCAATGAAAACGCCTCATATCTAATCATGTTGCGACCTACAGTCAATAGGCAGACAAGACAGTGCCATATGGTCCCTGCAGGTTCTGAATGGTGCCATATGGTCCCTGCAGGTCCTGAATGATGCCATATGGTCCTGAAACATCCTCTGAATGAACGTAGGTTCTAGTCCTGTAAAGACTGATTATACGTGGCCGAAACTGCCTTATGTATAGATCTTAGACAGTAGCTTCCCGATTTTCCGACGTAGATCCCCGGGGAGGGGGCATTGAGAGCAACGTTTATTCTGGTGTTGCGGCTGATAATTTTCGAATGTATCGGGTTAGAACTGGATCATGTTCTGCGATGAATTATGATTTTCGTTAGCTTGGGATTCATACGTGAAAGAAGATTGGCTTACCTTAATTCAGCATAGAAGTCCCAGTGAGCTGTGTACCCTTTGTCAACGTAAAACAACCATACCTCTGTATATACTACTGGCATTATTATCTAGGCAGCCATTAATTCTATAATAACCAAATTTTTTTACTGATCTTTCGCAGCACTTTAAGAGCCCAATGATTTATGGACAAGATCCTGCCAACTTCTGTATTGCCAAAACTATGGCATTTGTCAGCGATCATCCTTGAGCAAGATAATAGCCAGCTGCATGCGGCCAACGCCTCCAAGGAATGTCTGTTTAATATTACAACCTCCCTTTTGCTTGCCAGATCTTCAGTTTTTTTCCCAAAAGTGATATGCATGAGGCGTGTTAGGACGACAGTTACAACCATTTGACAACGCGCATAAACCTGATCAACAATTAAAAACTCTTGTCAGGCAAGTTTCGAAATTATGTTTCAATTTTGTTTCTGAAAGTGCTGATAGGATTGAAACCAAAGAATTGAGTTGGCACTATTTATGTTCCGAAATATGCTCTTCAGCCAATATGAGATCAATTATGCACGGTGACTATCGTTCTCTTGAAAGTTAACATTAGCATCTGGTGGAAATAGCATCTATGAAAAGAGTGTATGCAGGGCCAATGGTAAGTTCTTTGCCGCACGGTGCAATCTTTGCTGTCTTAACTTCTGCCACGCAGTGCCTCCCTAAATTCTAAAAAATTTGTCTTCCCTAAGTGCTTACCGCCCGGTACGGCTGCACAGGCTCCGAACCTGGTCCTTAGTGAATCTGATCGGCAGCGATATTGTGGTAAGCTGTAGTGCTAAATAGCTGTTTTCAGACTTATCAATGAAAACACTGTACTTACTGCAGAGAAATATTTCCCAGAGCATAATTTCATTCCCGGCAGTGAATAGTTGTCTTTTTATCAGTTGTCTTTTTTCAATCGTCAGGAGTTCACTTTTAGTGCTCTTGGGTCCATGTTTATCAGTACCTCTCCGTGGGTCCTTCGTCGACGTAGGGAAGAGGCGGCAATGCATGAGTTGGCTGCTCTGCTTATGCGGTTAATCGGGCCTGACCTCCCCAAGCTGCTCACTTATTCTGTGCATACGTTGGGAGTGGAATATGGAGGAAAATTAGCGGCCTTCACAGGACTAGAAGCACCGTTCTGTTCAGTGCGCGCTCAGGCGCGGTAGGGATTCGTAATGATACTACCAAGGTCTGACTCGGGCTGAGTGATCGCTAAATAGTTTTTAGACACCCTTTGGTGTCACAGCATTCAATACTGTATGGCTTATTGCCGGGTCGGAACTATTTTAATCTTTATGGCATGGTAGGCCGCCAGATTCGGGCAGAACAAAATATCGCAGATCTGGAGCGACAACTGATGAATGCTTGGCAGAATGTGTCGCAGGATGACATTAGGAACCTCTACCATTCCTTGCCTCGACGAATTCAAAGCATGCATTGCCGCCAGAGGCGGTTCGACCAACTACTAACTTGAACACTCAATGGGTGATTGTGAGCCATGAACAGGTACTATAACCTTGACCTTTTAATCAGTTTATTACTGTGTATGAGTTATACATATATTCAATTTCATCAAAAACAACCACTTCCTTCATGGTGCTTGGATTTTTTGCAAAAGAGTGTAGTTTGTGTTCCGAAGTATGCTCTTCAATCAATTTGAGACCAATCATGCATGGTGACTAAGCGTAGACTCATAGGCTTCCATCGTATTTTCATTTCTGTATTCTCATTCCTCTTGCATGTTTCATGATGATCATATAATTTTTCTAAATGCACACAGCTGATGGTTAAAGTACTCTGCTTTTGGGCGTTAAAATTGCTACACTTCCATACATATGGATACGTCCATCATGATGGCTGACGCAGAACCGAGTTTCATCATGATGTTGAAGCAGAACCTCTACAAAGAGGATGTGGTGGTACTCTTGTGTCCAATATCGTCGTTCGTCAATCTACTGGTACGTACGCCTGTCTCTGCTGCGTCATCAATTGAAAACCGCAATAACGGTCGCAGTCCTAACAGTTCGTGGTGCTGCAGACGTCATAGCGCGGTCTGTGCAGACACTTGTAGTCCTGAACATGAGGAGCCAAATTCCTGACTCAGGGCACGTGAAGTGATTGTACAATCCCGCAAAAGCCGAGACGAAATGGCTGTCCTCTAGGGCGCTAGTGGACCGATAAACCCTCCAATCCTGGAGCAGTCGATTTCTGACAGGTGCTGGTAGGAGTTTTTCGTTTATATAAGGCGTATATGTATGATAGGCGTAATACTCAAACGACCGATGTTCAGTTGCGATTTCTAAATGAAAATCGCGGTGTGACTTTACAATTTATACACAATGCAGATGTTATTCATACCTGCTTTGTGTGCATGCGCTAGAATGCTGATCATTAACTATTGCACATCCCACCATGTA